AAACCTATTCACACAGCATAAAAATATAGAGAATTATAGTAATATTTATCAAACCTTTAGGTCAGTATTTCTACAATTATCACCCACGTTTATTCTTGATTTATGCTACTACTTTACTGCATGCTAGAACAGACTTTGATTAAAATGAAATAATTAAAACCAACATTAACCTTGATAATGCTCTTTGAATTCGTTTGTATAATTATGTTTCACAGTACCAGAACTCTCATACTTTTTTCCTTTACATAAAGAGGAATCCACAGAATCAAGTGGTATGGAAATTGAAGGTCCACAAATTGTTGAACCAAAGCCAAACCGAATTCTTCGGGGAGATTGGGGAGATCTTGCCTCAGCACCTAGCAGTTTACTTGAACTAACATATTGTTCCTGTAAAAAAACCAATTGCTGTAAACCTTCAGGTTCAAGTAAAGGTAGATGTTCTTGTCGTCAGCATGGTGTTTGTTGCACAAGTCTATGCAAATGTACAGAGTGTCAAAACCCTGTCTCTACTGAAGATATTCATGATGATGATGACGATGATGATGAGGAAGACGACGATGAAGAATTTGTTGAAGAACAATAGTATTGTACTTGTATTTGATTGAATTACGGTAATATAAATACTGTATAATATATACCATACACATAAACTTTGCACAATCCCACAATTCTGTTATAGGATAATTGATACTAAAACAATTCTCTTATGTTCCACATAACTTATTAAATTTGTCAAAGAAACATGTGTGTAAATCAGTTAATACTGCATTTTTTTTATCTGTATTTCATAGAATATAACAGTTATTCTGTAAATCATTCTATTTTTATTCTTCAGGTTCAAGATGAAGGCAGATGTTCTTGTCTCGGCATGGTGTTTGGTGCACCCACAAGTCGATGCATGCACAGTGTCAAACCCTGTCTCTACAAAAGAGATTCATGATGATGATGACGACGAAGAATTTGTAGAACATTACTGTAATTGCATTTGACTGAATTACTATAATAATGAAGGTTTGAATACTACATTATATCATTTGCACAACACTAAAAATGTTATACATGTACTAAAAGTTTTCTTAATGGCCATATAAAGCATTAACATTACATTATGGTCCATTTCACTTATTTTATAGAACTTGTCATAGAAATGTGTGTAAATCAGTTAATACTGCATTTTTTCATCTGCATTTCATTTTCATACTGGAATTTAATAAAATTTGATTCTTAAAAATTTGTAAATCATTCAATTTTAGGTTAATTCGTGTTATAACTGATTTTTAAGTAAATAAATACAGTTAAAGCCATTGAATATTGGATGGACGTTAAACATGTTCAGAAATTAGTAAATATATTATGGCCATCCTATTTCAAAGTATTATGCAAATAGAGAATACATTATTGTGCCAGGTATGTCTTTTAAAGATTTACTAAACAACATATTTACTACTTTTTGTTGTCTTGTGTTTACTCGGCTTTAAATTTTTCAAGGGTTGGAAGGGTAGTTAGGGTTTGGGATAGCTCGTTCCAATCGATTATTGTTCTGGGTAAAAAACAATACTGGTATCTTGATGTCCTGGCATTGATGCGCTGGTATGCATTCGCATTTTGGTATCTGTTAGGTTGAGAGTGAATCTTTTTATGGGAGTCTCTGATATACTACTGGAGATATGCCACTGTGAATCTGATAAAATTGGATGAGCTTTTCAACTTTCCTTCTGTCTGCCAGGGTGGCCAGTGGTTCCCATCCTAACCTGGTTAGCATTTTGGTGACAATAGTTTGTAACACTATGGGTTTAACTGCTGAAATTCATTGTCACTGATATTTTGAAAATTGAGTATGTGAAATTTGACATACAATTGTTAGTGTTTGTTGTTTAATGCATACATTTTATTTTTTATGAACTCTGAGCAAATGTAGTCTTAGTCTGTTTGATGAATGCTGCTACCAACACCATACCATGTACTTTGTTGACAAATTTGATGAACATATTACTTTCCTTTGTAAAAACATGAATGTTGATACCAACTTGAAATAAGGCCCCATAAAAAAAATTATTAGTTTATCACCTTATTAAAGAACAAAAACTGATGAGGGAGAGAGGTTATTTTGTTTTTGTTTTTCTTTTGCTAGCCCCGCCCCATTTTTACAGATGTTTGCTGGTAAATTTATAGATTTAAGGACAAATATATAAAAGGTCATAAGAATAGAATCAAACGTATATAAACAAAAAATGTTTTTGTGGTACCAGTAAACATAAATGCAAGAAATCCTGAGCTTTTCAAGTGAAAAAAAGGTGGAAAATGATTATTTTAAATAAATGAAAAAAAAAATCAGGATTTCCCCAAAAGTGATGAGGGATGGGTGATAAACTAATAATTTTGTTTACGGGGCCTAACATCATACAATGTGTTTTATTGAGAAATGTTATGACTATAATTTATTAAGTTTCTCTTGTATTAAATAGTTTTAAAAAAAAGCTTAACATTTATTTTCCACTTAAATTGATTATTGGATTGTAAATTTACAATACAGTAAGAAAAGAAAATACTGTATCTGAACAGTATTTGCTGATTAGGAATACAGCAGAACTTTCATTATAGTTTGTTATGTAGTAGTTAGTAAAATTTATGTATTTAACTCACATTTAAATGGATTGGATTGAACTCTACAGTTATGTAAAGCAGCTCCCTAAGGTGTATGATGTGTTTATGAATAATATTCATAAAAGTATTCAGATTTTTATTATAAATAAAGTTGTTTCAACTTACACATGTTCACTCTGTTGTGTATTTGATTTGGGTTACATACCAATAAATGATCAGGGAGATAATGAACTAGTTAGTTGAACTGAGGTATAAAATATTACATATCTGCTCACCTCCTTATTGGAATCATCAACTTCTATATTCATTCATTCATTCATTCAGTCTCAAAATGTCAGGTAGTCCGGATAGGGAATATACAGGAATTCTCAAATTCTACGAACATACATAGGCCTAGTATTACTTAGCTAACACACATTCAATACAGTTTGAGTACCTATCTATATAGGCCTACTATACAAAGTCGCCGGACAGAGGCCTAGGAAATACGGTATGATAGTCGGAAGAAGACTGCAGTTGTAATGTACTACCTCCACAATTGTACTACTATACCAATATCTTGTATAAAGGCTGTATACTTATATTATATTGAAATATTCCACTAAAATTGGAGAACTATCATCCAAAATACTGTACACACTGCAATTTTCCTCGCAACATTGTTTACATTAGTTACCGGGTTTACAAGAACGCTTGTGATTGGCTAATAGCGTTACATCATTTCTTGACAGGTATGGTAAGTGTGCTGTGATTGGCTATTTTTTTTCATGAACAACATTACTTTTTCGAAGATAAATTTTCATTTTTGGATAGTTTCCCCAAATTCACGATTGCCGACAATGATTTTATGTTACGATAAAATAGTATTGACATTTTTGTGCGAATGCCAGGTAGCCCGGATCGGTGGGTCACAGAATTCATTAACTAAGCCGATTTTCGAGCCTCAACCCACGGTCTATCAGTTCTCAGATTAAACACAATACATTACAGAAATCCATATTTCCATTGCTCATCTAATTAATCCCATAGGTAATTAAATTAAGTACTCACAGAATTAACGAGATGATATTCGGTATAAATACGTCCACCTTGAAACTTTTCAAGTGCCGATGTTGCCATGATACCACAACTAATTAACAAATAAAAAGGAAATGTTTAAAGCACTTAACGTCTTACAAAGGCATCTTTGGAATATTCTGTATAAATAGCGCCACCTTTAAAATATCAAGTGAGGATATTCACAAGCAAGTACAGTAAATTTAAATATGGATGAAGCTTAACCCCTACTTTCATAGGCAGTTTGATCTACAGTACAGTATATGAAAATGCTCAAACATTGTTTTAAATGGGTAAGTATGTATACATGTCTCAACTTATGGAATTTTAAAAATATCCAAGCACTGTCCCAATATGAGACCATTTGATCTAAATTAAACAACTTTGCAAATGTAGAAGTTATGTAAACACCTTAAGCCAGTCTCACGTTGCAATTTTTGCTTACAAAAGCTTCACTATGACTCTCAGTCTAAAATTGTTTGGTGCGCGGAGCTGGTGCAAGGTGTGAGAGATATTATGTATACGACACAACATGAATTTTGAGCATGAGCATGTTCAAAAAATTGTAAGAATATGTTTAAAAAAATTGTAAGAGCAGTGTTGTATTGCAGCTTATCGTTAGCAAAATCGGTCCGCCGGCCGGCATGTGAGTCTGGCTTAACTCATCCTCTGATCATAAACCACATCAACTGCCCAAACAAGACTAAAATAGCAACAATACACAGTCACTGTCTGATGAGGTACTCTTGTCAAATCACACTAATTATCAAAATGTGTATTGTACTTGAAATAGGCCTTGGGGATGATAAGGTTGATCAAATCATTATTTGGAGTAATACCTAGGTGCTTCTGATTATTATCTAATACCTTTATAGAAATTGGTAGGGCAACCAATCAAACCTCAGTGAGTCCATTAGTTTTTCTCAAAATATCATTTCAATATATACAATCATATACAATCTTATCAATGCCTGGCCAACTTTTTAATATTAGCCATAAACATCTTTTACCCAACAATAAGGTTCATAAATTCATCAACTGATTAAATGTAAGAATAACGTCATAAATTGAGGATAATACAGTGCACTACAATAATTCACCTTATAGGACCATTTGCATAGATTTCAGCCTTCATCTTGTCCATACCACTGATGGATCCATAGTCACCAACTTTCCACTTAGTGTAGTTTGACAGAGTGAAGCAGTCTCCAAATGTTGAACATGTTCCACATTGATTAAATTTCTCGCATTCTGTACATAAAATATAAATTTACAGTACTGACTACCACAACACTACCACAAGTCTTTTTAGGGGGAAGGCAGAGGTTCTTCCCCCAGTTGAGCCACTGAGGAAGGGAGCATCTGTCTTGTGCTTTGTGCAAGAAGCAAAAGAAAACATTGAAATCTTACTATATATCTAACATTATTTTTCTATAAAATAGGAAATTAAAAGTTACAGTATATAGGTTGTATAATGATTGTGAAACAACTTAGTACCCTGGTCTTTGGCTTGGTAATTATTACAAGTCTCATCTGGGATCCCCTGCTCATGTGCATACTTATAAACTCCAAGCTGACCACCGCCCTCACATGATCCTGCACCGCCACAGTCAATTAGATTCTGGACTGATAGATAAGCACTTGGCCAAGCTCCTTTGCGTTTGATGTTGATACGATCTGCAATATAAAACAAGATAATCTGAGCTTACAAACCCTCGCCCTGTCGCACCAAATCTTTGTATAATTATATACGATGCACTCTATCCGCTGGTTGTTGTATTATAGGGATGCAATATTACCAACTATATGTATCAGGTGAAATGTAGCCGAGCGCTAAAAATGGACATATTATGTGTAAAGTTAATCAAAGGTATGGGGGTTCACATCTCCTTCTTGTTTTGTTTTTTATTATTATTATTTGTTGTTTTTTTTTATTATTTGCTCATCTATAGAATACTTTTTTCATATTTTAATATTTTTCACAATTTTCTATTTTTAAAATTGTGACAGCAGATTAAAAATATTCTAAAATCTGCTTGTTACTTCTCCACTCCATCCGCCAAACAAGGCCTAGCATAAACCTCAAGATCCAAGCCCATCAGTCGGGCTTATGCCTTCCGGACTGCTTCTAGTCCGCCGGCCAGAATTTGACACATGGTCGGTCCCGCTGGGGTCGGTCCGCAGTCGATCCACTCGAGTCAGTCTGGCCTTGCCAAATGACTCACATCTGCTCGATAAAACTATGTAAATAAATAACATTCTAAAATCTACATCTTATTTTTGATGAGCACCAAGTTTGAGGACAGAGATACATATAATAATGTCAATGTTTGAAAGTTTGCTGTTAAACGGTCCAGTAGTTTTTGAGTTATGCTCCCGGAGGGACAAACACACAGACAGACAGACAGACACATAGACGGAGCTCAATGCAATACCCTCTTCGCCACTTCAGGGGAGGGGGGTGAGGGTAAAGAAACCAGTTTCATATTTCTATTTTGCTATCTAAAGTTTACCTTGATTTTCTTTTAATTAATATTGAAATAGCAATTTAATAATGATATTAGTGAAAATATGAATGGGGGCATTCACACTGAATCAGATTTTTAAATGAGAAAGCCGAACACACAGAAAATCAGATCCAGCATTCAAAAGTAACGCCGGCATTTGGCAATGCCAACGTAAATGGCGGCGTGCAGCCACCCAACGCCGACGTGCAGATTTTAGGCCTAGCCCAGGCCTACGCTGGTACTAGTTGTAGCAGTTGTGATAGACACGACAGGATCGCCGTAAACACAATATTACACTTTATTCTTAATGAAATCAAGTTATTTAATGTCTTTTATGTTGTATTACGAGTAAAATGTGAATAAAATCAAACTGGATTGTATGTTTCATGCTTCTTTTATATTGTTTTTACCTGCATTTCCAGTCTTCCATTTTTTTTCTAAACAACACATTCTTCATGTAAACATATGGTCATGTTCCTAAACTCTGCCTGCTCTTGGTTAATTTTTTCGTGGGGTCATGATGTATGGGCAAAACGTGCTTGGCTGTGATGACGTCAGATCGCCCAAAGTTTCGTAGTGCGAGACAGCTTGCAGACAGAACAAGCTCAGTGTAAACATATTAATTTTTAATTAAACACCTTTATTAAAACAATAAGAAACCCTTGTGGTTTTGTTTTACTGTACAGTCAAATCTACTGTAACAAATTTAAATGTCATTTTCTACAAATTTCCTCCTTTTCTTTTTGAGGAATGATTGAAGTTAACACTTGTAATTTACACTGATGTATCTACGACATCCAAATCCAAATTAAACATCTAAGAGTCAGCCGTCGTAGAAGCTTGCTTTTAGACAATAATGGAATGTAGGCAACACAGTTATAACTGGACAAACTGTAACACTTAGCATATTCATCATCTAATTATATATTCACGCACTACTAAAGTGACACCAGTTCCGTACGAAGAACTGTAATCTATTTTAATATTCCAATATTGCAATGTCGCCCTCTTGAGTTCCAGCATTGTCATGTTGCTTGATATTTGTGTTTTGATGTTCAATAAAAGTTCAGTTAAATTTGACAAAGAGTTCAAATACTTATTTATGCTGGAACTCGCGACGAGCACACCTAAGCCTACATACTAACGTGAGTGCTGCACTGTACAGTATTCATTCACTAGTATGCCTGTTGTTGACTGCCCAATAGAGGGCTGTGCCTACCAAACTCCTGATCTCGGAGAGGCCGTTGTAGCAGCTCTTATCACAACCCACAGCACCATCCACGCTAGGCCCACCAATAGTGCCCCTACCGCCAAGGTTGAGAAAGTAAAAAGCCTTGTATATCCTCAGCCGGGACTAGTTAAGAATGGTCTGTCTTCCAATCACATTGGGCCGAATATGTGGAAGCCACCAAAATCACAGGCCAAGACGAGGTTATCCAACTATTAGAATGTGATGACACTCTCCGCAAAGACCTAACTCGATCGGCTGGAGGTAGCTTATCAGGCAAACCCGAATTGGACTTACTCGCCGCCATCAAGAAGCTAGCCGTCAGGGAAGAAAACACTATGGTCGGCAGGGTTGCATTACACAACATGCAACAGGACAGGGATGAAACAATACGATCTTTCGGCGCAAGTCTTCGGGGTCAAGCCGGCGTCTGCAAGTTTATTATGAAGTGCCCAGGCTGCACTGCAGACGTGAATTATACCAAATCAATCTTACGTGACGTGCTCACTCGCGGCATTGAGGACCACGATATTCAACTTTATCTGCTTGGAGACAAGAACCAGGACATGACACTAGAGGGGGTATTCCAATTTGTTGAAGCCAAGGAGGCTGGAAAACGCTCGGCCTCGCGTCTCCTCGACTCGGAGGCTACATCTCCTGCATGTAGTAGTTCATACACCCGTAACAGAAAAGAAGCCCAGAGAGCACAAACAAGTGGATAAATCAGAGGCCTGTACATACTGCGGCCAAAAAGGACACGGAAAACATTTACCTACTCGAATCATAAAAACGACATGCCCAGCCTACAGCCACATTTGTAGCCATTGCAACCGTAAAACCATTTTGAGTCCGTCTGCCGAAGCAAGAACAAACCGATTAAGGCCACCAGAAAATCCACCTCCAAACACGAAGGCGCAATATTTGACGCCCTCTGTGCTGTCACGACAACGAAACGCCAAGGCAAATTGATCGCTCTCGACCACCATCTATACAACCACCTCTCCAAAACGTGGATTAAACAGCCCTCAAAGCCACAGCCATTCATACGTCTGACCGTCAAAGTACAGGAAGCGGATTACATCTCACTCGGATATAGGCTTAACGTCACACCCCGAACCATCAACGCCTCAGCCATGGCTGACACTGGATGCCAAAATCCTACATCGCCTTGGCCTGAAACATGACGACCTCATACCCGTCACAAAGAAAATGGATGCTGCTAACAACAAGGGTATAAACATCCTTGGTGCAGCCATCTTGAGGTATTCTGGAAAGGACACAACCGGTAACGAATTCGAGACCCGTCAAGTCACCTATGTTACCGACAGCTCAGAAAAGCTGTTCCTTAGCCGGGAAGCCTGTATCGCTCTTGGACTGATCACACCGACATTCCCAACAGTTGGCGAGACACACCACCTGCATGACATGGCAGCTGACACCATCGGTGACGGCCCAGACCCGAACTACGTCAGAGAAGATAAACATGACTCGACCAATACATGCGGCTGCCCCAAACGCCAGCTGCCACCCAAACCACCAACCACTCTACCCGACCCAGCAACAAATGAGAACCGTGCCCGTTTACAGCAGTTCCTAATTGACTACTACAGTACAAGTCTAGTACGTTCAACACATGTGAACACCAACCCCTGCCAATGATGAAAGGACCTGCAATGAAACTTATGGTTGACCCAAAGGCCGAACCAGTTGCCCACCACACTCCTACTGTATCCCCGTCCCCATCCACTGGCAAGATCAGGTGAAAGCAGATCTTGACCAAGATGTGAGATTGGGTGTCATTGAACCAGTCCCGATTGGCGAACCGGTCCCATGGTGCCACCGAATGATAGTATGCGCTAAGAAAAACGGCAAGCCACGCAGAACAGTTGACTTTCAGCCACTGAATGCACACGCTACCCGTGAAACCCACCACACACGGTCACCGTTTCATCAGGCCCTGGCTGTTCCGCACGGCAAGAAGAAAACTGTATTCGATGCGTGGAAGGGCTGACCGTCATCTAACGACCTTCATCACACCATGGGGCTACATTGCTTCTGGCGACGGTTATTCAAGTAACTCATAGACATGAGGTCTATTCGATATTAGTGTCTTCACACCATTAATTTTAATATTTTATTTATGTTTACATAATTTCATTTATGCTAAAACTAGCTTTAATATAGATGATTTTTAATATCTGCATCTATCTCTCTCCCCAGGGAAGATTTGAAGACTGAGTAGACTCAAAATCGAAGAGGTTTTAGGTTTTAATTCAAAGAAAATACCACAATGGCACTTGCCACCTAATTTTCGCCTCGGATTTTTTTCCACTAGAAGATTTCTTTTCCATCCAGCTATTTTTCCAGGTTATTTCTTAAGGTTGTTTTCCAACTGCTTTTTCCCCCCGGCTATCTTGTCCCAGTATTTTCCATTGTATTTTTCCTCCTAGTTTTCCAACTGAATGTTTTCATCAGTTTATCTATTATGTAAGGAGGAACACATTATTTTTTTATGCTTTTGTTTTTATTTTAATAATAAAAAGCCTTATCCAATCAATTAACTGATTGACTCTTGATGCATTTGAAATACAAATGAAGCCAAAAGACTCATTGTAGAAACGTGATTTTAAAAAGTTTGCTTCCGTGTTCACACAAAAAAACAGGAAAACTCTTTTTAACATTGAGTACTCTTTTGGACTATAAATAGCACACCTATTTCCTGGTCGGTCTATATATCCTTCTTATGTTTTGCTGCATCAGCTAATAATAATCTGGCAAGGATTGGAAATATTATTTCCACCATTAAGAATGTCTGGTAGTGGCCATTCTTTTACTATGCCGAACATTTTCCAGTAGGTTTTATTGGGTTAACTCACAAGCTGATCTATTATGATATTAAATTGGTGTGATATGTGCTGTAAATATGAATACATAGGCTAAAATTAATTATTTTGGCGGCCATATTAAATTTCAAGATGGCGGCCATTTTGAAATTTAATATGGCGGTCTTCTGATATAATTTCTGATGGCTGTATGGTAGTCCCTGTTATGGAAAACATGTGCAACGGTCTTTGATTGACAGTGCTAGGTACTGTAGATATGAATATTGACAAAAATATCATTAATTTGGCGGCCATCTTGAAATCAAATATGGCTGCGCCATCTGACATAATTTCTGATGATTGCATTACACTCCTTGATATTGAAAACATGGGTAATGATCTTCAATTGGCAATGACATGTGCTGTAGATATGAATATATTGGCTAAAATCAATTATTTTGGCGGCCATATTGGATTTCAAGATGGTGACCATTAGGAGGCATTATCTTTTGGGGGTCTATTTTTTTTAATGATCTTTAGGTGTCATAGTATCACTATGGGAAGTTTCATGCTTTCTTCCAGAAGTGCACGATTCTACCTGGAATTCAACCTTAGCCGCTCTACTAGTAGGCTGAAACTAAAAACTGCCAACGTTATAACTGGCGTAAATTTTATAGCACCGGCGATTTTCTTTTTTTTTTGCCAACATACTTTTTTCCTAATTTTGAGGGCTGCATAATGTGAATGCAGCTTAAGATTAAAAAAAAAAAACTTGTGGCAGGAATTCATTCTCAGGTTAACCTATCTGTTGTTGCTGTCTCTTATACACATCTACAAATGAGCTTGATTATCATTATGCTAATTAGCTGACGTAATGAATATTCCTGAGCGACGAGTGCATTATACACTGGGCTACTTACAAATAAATGCTAGAGTACTTACGCGTTTTCATTCGTTGTTAGGGTGGGGTCCACAATTTACCCAAAAACCTTAAAACAGAAAGAGGGGGGGGGGGAGAGAGTCCGGCGCTCTCTCTCGGGAGAATTTTAATTCCTAGATGGCGGGAAATGAGCTTTCCCGACTTTTGAGCTAGGTGTATTTTAATGACTTAGTTCTTCAAAATTCAAGTTTCCTCCTCTTGAAAACGGTCAGGTAAGCTTTTTCATTCTTATTATAGGCCTGTGTATGTGTATACATACATAAATAATATGTAGTTGCATACGTATTCTTTTTTCCATGAATCGATAAATGCCAAAGAGAAGAGGGGGGTTCTCCCCCTTATATGTGTATACAAAAAATATGTAGTTGCATACATATTCTTTTTTCCATGAATCGATAAATGCCGGAGAGAAAAGGGGGATTCTCCCCCGGGAAAATTTTGATTCCAGATGGCGGATAATGAGCTTTCCTGACTTCTGAGGTGTCTTTAAATGACTTTTAAGTTCTTCAAAATTGAAAGATTTCCCCTCTTGAAAGGATTCCATGAATCTCCATGAATCAATGAATCCCAAAGAGGAAGGGGGTGGGGGAGGTTGGGTTCTCTTCAGGAAAATGTTGATTTCTAAATGGCGGGAAATGAGCTTTCCTGATTTCTGAAGTGTCTTTTAATGACTTTTAAGTTCTTCAAAATTCAAGGTTTTTGCCTCTTGAAAACGGTCAGGTAACAGGGCGGGCGATGTCCCCTACAAAAAAAGTGGGTGTGGTTGGGCATCCCTCGAAATCTCTCGATAGTGTTTCCCGAAAATGACAATTTAGGGGTTTCGACAGCTTATCAGTTTTGGGGGCTACTAATATATATTACACATACATTTTTTTTTCTCACCGACGAATTGTGGTTATTCTCCCTGAAAAGGGGGTGGGTAGCAAAAATGGAGAAAAAAGGGGATTATATTAAAATTTAAGTCTGAGAGTGCCATTTCCGGCCATCTAGAAGTGTTATAATCATACATTTTCAGCCATGGGAGAGCTGAGGTGGCCTT